TAGTAGACGCGCACGGAGACCAGCGCCACGCATGCGCCCACGTCCTGGAAGGCCAGGTGGAAACCGGGCCGGCTGAGCGGCCCCAGCTCGCGCACCTCGGTGTTCAGCTTCATCTTGCGCTCGCCGAGGTCGCCCTGAGTGAAGCTCTCGTCCGCGGCGATCGTGTCGATCTTGCGGGGCCGGCTGCTGCCTGGCCGGGGACGCCCGCGGCCCAGGTCGGCCTCGGTTTCCAGGTAGTAGACGTTGAACGTCTCCTTGCAGGTGCCCGCGGCGCCGGGGATGCTGCTGCAGTCGCGCAGCGTGAACTGCAGCTCCACGAAGATGCGCTGCCCGCGGCCGCGGCCGATCCAGCCCGTCTGCAGCCAGTTGTCCTGGTTGGGCTCCAGCACGTTGCACACCTGGTACGTGCGGATGGGACGGTCGTGCTCGTCCACACCGCTGATCTCCTCCCACTGAGGAGGAGGAAGAACAAAGACGTGGGCAGCTCAGAGCCAGGGCGCCCCTCGTAGGCAGAGGCCCGATGGTGACGGAGGCTGAAAACCCCCTGCCCCACCTACCCCCTCTGGCCCCCACCACTCCCTATACACACCCCCTGAAGTTACAAGATGCAAAGCCAGGTGAAACGTTGGAGACAACTGAGTCCAATTTTAAGTTTTATAGATGGGGCAGCTGAAGCTCCCGGGTGACAGGGACTTGCCTGGCTGTACACATGGAGTTAGGAGCAGAGGGAGAAATGGTGCCTGGAGTCTCCTGGCTCTCCACCCAAGGCCCTTTCCATGACACCAACCTGCTGTCACATGGCCACATCTCCCCGCTCCGACCCTCTTTCCAATCCTTTTTTAGAATTCCAAGTCTTGTTTATTCTATCAATCCATCCGTCAACAACACTGCTGGTAGTATCTACCGTGTGTCAGGCACTGTCTAGTATTGGCTCTGTCCAGAGGCCACATTTCTGTTCCTAGACAGACAGTTCTCGCCTCACTTATGTGCCTTTTCTTTTTTTCCTGTCTGACTGAAGACTCAACGTTTTCTAATGGGCCATTCTGGCTTGAACCCAGGGCTGCTGCAGACCACATGTTCCAAGGAGCATTTTGATGTGATGTAACCATGGGGAGCTAAAGGGACTGAGTCCTGGACCACAGGATCCCCGTGACAGGCGGGTGGGAAGGTTTACACTTACCCCATTGCTCGGCAGTGCAGTCCAGCCCAGTTCAACCTGGGAGGCTTTGGAATCCAGGAGGATGACTAGGGAGAGGGGGGAACAGAGATGTCAGAAAGCCAGAAGGTCAGGAGGGTAGACCTTTGGTGAGGTCACTGTAAATTTGCTAACTGAAGGATGGAGAATGTGACAAAGAACACAGACAAGTTTTTTCCACTTCATACATCTCCAGGAGGCTCAAGTCCAGAGAGGGGTAGCCATATGATTAGGGAAGGAGCCTGTATTCATTTCCTGTGGCTGCTGTAACAAGCTACCATAATTTGGCAGCTTACAACAGCAGACATTTATTCTCTTACAGTTCTGGAGGTCAGGAGTTGGAAATCAGTTTCACGGATCTAAAGTCAGGGTGTCAGCAGGATAGGTTCCTTCTGGAGGTTCAGAGGGGAGAACCCGTTTCCTTGACTTCTTCAACTTCTAGTGGCCACCTCGATTCCTCGGCTTGTGGCCTCCTCCTCCTCCATTTTCAAAGTGCAACACTCCAGTCTCTGCTTCTGTCATCATATTGCCTTCTCCTCTGGCTCTGACTCCTCCTGCATCCCATTTATAAGGATCATTGCAATTATATTGGGCCCATCCAAATAACCCAGGATAATCTCTCCATCTCAACTTCCTTAATCACATCTGAAAAGCCTTTTACCACTTAGGATAGCATTCAAAGGTGTGGGAATCAGGATGTAGACACGTTGGGAGGAGTCATTATTCAGCCTGCCACAGAGCCTATGACAAGTACTCTAAGGTTGCCTATAAAATTGGGGGAGGGGGGTGTTGTCAGTGACACCCCCCAGCCTTCCCAGGTTTTCTGAATTTTAAGCATCAAGAAGAGGGGGAGAGTGAGTGTATCAGAAGACACCTGTGTACAGCCCAGGGTTCATGTAGACTCAGGGGCTCTTCTGAGGTGTGGAGTCACCAGGGAGGAAAATGTGAGCCTTTTTACTTTGACTTTTAGGGCCTCTGGGGGTAACAAATGAAAATCTCTCATTTCCCCAGCCATCCCCTTTCCCGGGGGCTGTCACCTCCACTGCCTTTGAAAGAACAGCAGTGGTCCTTTTATATATAAAACCATGACCCCTCCTGCACCAGAGAGGCTTGGAGTCATTTCCCCGCCCCCAGGAGGCACTGGCCTAGAAGTCTGAATCCTGCTCTCAGTATGGGTCCCAGAAAAGCCCAGGTCTGGACAGCATAGCAGCAGCTCAGAGACAGGAGCCCAGACCACAGACAAATCTTGTAAGATTACTCGTCTGGAGCTTACGCAAGGGATGGGGCTCCAAAGCAAGGGCCTCTACAAGGTTTGGCCCCGAAAGCATCAGCGGCAGTGGGCAGCATTGCCGACAGCGGATTTCAATATAACTGACAGCACATAGGAAATTTCATATTGGAAAGCCTCAGAAATCCAGCGCCCCAACCAACCTCGCCGTCAAAGCCTCAAATCCCAACTCCTCAGGATCATGCACCTGCATATGACGCCTCTGGATTCAACTGAGCATACAGCTCCCCCAAATTCAGAATCAGAGGCAAGGCTCGGGCTCTGGTACCGCGGGCAGCCCCAAACCCCGCAACAAGGACCGCTCGGCGTAGTCTACGCTCCAGATTCAGCACTGCGGACAGCTCCACGATCCAGCTCCCACCCCCTAGCACGCACACACCACCACCACCACCAGCACCACCACCACCACCAGCACCACCACCACCATCACCACCACCACCACCACCAGAGTTCCACCTCCAGTTGGCTGCATGCACAGTGGTCCCCTATCCCCCGCTGTTCGGGCTGCATCCCGTCCCCCCATACTCCTATCTCACCTCGGCATCCCCCTTCTCTTCTGCTCTCTTCTCTCCCCACCCCCACACCTCCCACCTCCAATTGCTCAGCCGGTCTATCTCACGGCCCCTGGACCACCGCCTCTGGCTCCCACGGTTCCTGGTGTCTTTCTTCCCCAGCCTCCCAGGTCTGCAGACCCCGAGCTCCTCGATGCCCCTCTCTTCTCTATTGCTTAGCCACCTTTTTCTCTGTCTCTCCAGTTCTTTGCTTCCCGCGCCCGCTTGCTTCAAACCCCAGTACAGACTCCAGCCTCTCCATAGGACTCCCTCGCCAGCACTCCCGCTTTTCAGCCCCTTATCCTTTGGCACCCCGGGCT